TCTGAAGGCATCTCTCTTACCCATAAAGATCTTTACTTCTCGCTTCAGGAAACTGGAATTGCTGGTCACAGTGCTGGCTCAAGGAGGCAGATTGACCTATTGTGAATAGCACATATTTCAGAAATCAAATGGAACTGGATGCAAGCCTGCTAGTTAGCAGTTGTCACGTGTTTTAGTCAGTTTGCGTCACTGAGATTAGAAGACCTGACAAGAACAACATAGAGAATGACAAGTGTATTTCAGCTCATGGTATCAGAGGTTCAGTCCATGGTCAGCATACTCCATAGCTCTGGGCCAGAGGTGAGGCAGACCATCATGTAAGAAGGGCAGGGAGGAAGAAAGCAGCTCAGGACGTGGTAACCAGGAAGCAGAGAGAGCACCACACTCAGCAGGGACAAAATATAAACCCCTAAAGCCTACTCTCAGTGACCTGCCTCCTACAACTACACCCCACTGCCTACAGTTACCACCAGTTAATACATATCAGTGGATTAATAGGTCACAGGTCTCATAATCTGATTTTTTCACTTCTGAACATTATTTCATCGTTCCGTACATGAGCTTTTGGGAATGCCTCAGATCTAAACTGTAACATACGTGTTAACCACTGTAAGCCTTTTGTCATAGCCACAGTGAAGATGAGGTTTGTTGTAGAACCAGTGAGGATGCACACAGGACAACCAGATTGGGCTTGGCCCTGCCTCTGCACATGATCAGTTACGCGGCCCCTTTCTTATCCACATGATCAGGATAGCAGTCCAACTTCAGTCTTCAGGTTTTGTGAGGAATGAATGAGTTAAACGTGTGGCTGTTGTAAAGTCAGGTGTCATTGTGGGGAGACTAGGCCCATAGGTGTAACAACAGTACATAGGAATTGCTGTCATTTCATCCCCTGATGTATTCCTCCTCACTGGTGGTCGCAGACTAGGCAACAGCCATGAATCAAAGTCCTCTCCTATGAGGCCACAGGAGAGGTTCTTCTTTAGGGGAAGGTTCTGGAATTGCAGAACCATAGGATTTCTCAGGGTGGGCTGTGAATAGATGAAGAGCATGTGCCAGGATTGGAAGAAGTGCCAGAGCCTTGGTGAAGGAAAGCAAAAGCCAGAATGGGCGAAAAAAGAGATCCACTCACAAGTTTTACCAGTAACATGAGCAGCTTTGCTCCCAGAGCAGTCCTTGTGGGGAGGGCAGGATGTGCCAGGGGAGAGCACTCTGGCACCCCAAGGGCCTAAGCAGGAGGAAGCTGCTTCTGTGGAGTCCACTGGCCCAGGCCAGTGAGAAGTGGGAAATGAGAGCAGGCCAAGCCTACTGGCTCCTGCTTTATCTTTGCAGTTCCTAAGGGGCTTTCCCAGTGTCTTCACACCTTGATGTCTTTAGTCCTTGATCTTTATACTCCCAAAGGGGAGGAACAGGCAGCCATTCTTATTTTCATTTTCAGCATTAGGTACCTGAGCCCATGGGAGAGCAGAGCACCTGGCTCAAGGCCCAACAGGGAGTGCAAGCAGGAATCCAGACAGCTCCTGTGTCTCAGGAGCTTCAGAAGCCACAGTCTTGCTTCATTTCCACATGGGGAATCATATTTTGATGCCCAGTTTCCAGAAGGCAAAGAGCAGAGGCTCCATTTCTGCCTGTCTGGTCTGGAGTCTTCTGTGGCAGTGGACCAGGGAAGCCAGGGTGCACTTGCTGTCCACCTTCTAAGTGTGAAGCAGCCTGTGTGGCTCACGGTGACTGCTGAAAAGGTATTGAATGAATTAACTGCTGAAAGTTGAGTGAATCATTGGATGAACAGATTTGGCCTGAGAAAAGCCACTTTATTTCACTCTGCGCCGTCACCTGGACTCTAAACCAGGGGCACATAACACTCCTTCTCAACAAGGACGCTTACTCTGTTGTGGTCTGTTTGTGTTCAGGCCCACCCGGGAGAGTGAAGGAGGACGAGGAGAAGAAGGGACGAGGCTTCTCCCTGCAGTACCAGCATGCCCTGGTGTGTGTCCTCACCCAGTTTGTGACTGAGTCATCTGACTTGGGTCAGCTGACCTACATGTTGGGCCCAGACTGGCAGTTTGACATCACTGACCTTGTGACAGAGTTCATGAAAGTGGAGGAGCCCAGAGTTGCCCAGTTACAGGATGGCAGGACCCTGGTTGGTCGGGAGCCGGGAATCACCACTGTTCAGGTACATGGGGTTCATGTTTTGCCACCTCTCCAACACCAGTACCTGCTGATGGTGCAGGAAAATGCTGCCATGCAGGGGTGTGCACATACGTGAGGGTGATTGTGCAAATGTGCAGATACCGAGTCTGCCTGTAACAGAATCATGAGAAGCAATAGAGTATTCACCAATTTTAAGAACCTAAACACATTTTGTATTTTAGAGAGAGTTGAGAAAAATGCCTGATCTGTTTTTACCAGAGAAAGCTAAATGAAACACATAGTGTAAGTCACCCTTTTCCCGATATGACACTTTTTTTTTTTTAAATCTGTACTAGGAGGTGGTAGAACCTTTGAAAGCAAATTTCTCCTCAACTTTGACTTTTAACCATTTAGCTATATTATACCTTTAACAGTAGGCAAAGATTTTTTAAAGCATGTATTTGGCTATAAATCACAGAGAATCTATAGTTAAAAGCTCTCTATTTTCATTATACTAATAGTAAAATAATTTCTAACTGATTTTGGCAAGATTAAAAAAGAAAAACTCACAGATTGTTTTATTTTTGCAAATTTAAAATGTTACTGCTCCTAGTTAATTATGTCTTATTTTGGGTGTTGCCAAAGTTAATTTTCGACAAAGTTGAATTAAATATGTAACATTCTATATTCTTGTCTATTTCTGTGTAATATATTACCACCAATTTAACATTTCAAGACAACAGTAGTTAATTAAGTTATATTCTGTGGGTACACAGTCCTGGTGGGTGGGCTGGTTCTATACTCAGGGTTCCTAAGGCTGAGATCCAGGTGCTGGCTGGGCTTGGCCCTTAATCTTGGAGTTTTGGGAACACCATTGGCTTTTAATCTCATTCAGTTTCTTGGAAGAACTTAGCTCTCTTATAGTTATAGCGCTGAGGTCACAGTTTCCTTACTGTCAGCCAGGTGTTGCCCTATCCTCTAAGAGGACCCCTCCATTCCTTCTCACATGATCCCTCTCTCATCAGTAATGGCTGGATTTAGTCTTTCTCACACTTAGAGTCTGAATTCTCCTGCTACCAGCTGGGGAAATGCACTCTGCTGTTAAGGGTTCCTGTATAATTTGGGAGACCCTTGTTTTAGAGCCAGCTATGCCATGTAACAGTGTGATTGTAGAGTGCTTTCTCATTGTATTTGAAGGTTAAGGTCAACATTTAGGGGGA